AGTTCATGCACATGAAATTGTATCATGTTCACTTTACAGATGAAAGAACTAAAGCTTAGAAAGTTGAACGCCCAGCCCCTAACACTTTAAAAAGTGAAGTTTATATTATACCTACATGTCTCTAACATCTGTATTTTTATTTTATTAGCATATATTTGCAATACATAATGAATTCATTCATCATGGAGAGTAGTTATATGTGACCAAACATCTATATTCTTATTGGCTAATCTCTCTCTTAAAATGCATAGCAAATTGTTCATCCTCTATTACCCTTTCTGCATCTCTCCATTTCATCCAGTCCCTCATCTCTCTCCTTACCAAAGCAGAGGTTTGAATAGCAAAAGGAAAAGGAAGCAGTCAATATACCAATACATCCAGGCTTCACAGCACTAGAGCACTAGTATGCACACTCCACCAGAATCTGATACCAGCAAGACCTTCAGAAAGGTCTTCCCAGGAAGATATATGGAACCAAAGTGGACACCAGTGATGGCTGGAGATCATACTAGATGACAGTAGAGCTCTTTGCCCATCCTCATTGTGGGCCAACTTCTGAGAGACCAAAGCCATAGACATTCTTCCAGGAAAAAGTGGTCGCAAGGAATTAAAAGAATATCAGTTACTAGGGTTGGTTATAAGGTTATCAGGAGGGTCTTGGAAAAATCCTATTGTGAAGCAATATTTGGGATCCATTTTTCATACATGCCTCAGGAGTCCTTCGGAAGTTTTGGGCCTCTGTATTATCAAATGACTCCAAAGTGCTAGTGAAACAAGACTCTGGTCTAACACTGGTGGTGGCTCCACGCCTGGCCTCCCTTCCACCACTCACCAACAACTCCATTTCTCATAGTCTGTTAGGCCAACTGTTTTCTTGGGACAGGAAGACTGAGGGTTCTAACATACAATACCACCTGTAACTCCCAGTGGAAACTTTACATATTTCCTGTGGAGCTTCTATTGTCTTAAACTAAATTCAGACTAGTTTTCTTTAAAATGCCATTGTTAAGGAATATTCTTCAGTGAAGGCTTCTCATTTCCCTGCAGTCCTCAAGTACTGGGACCAAAGAATAAGTCACTTTTTGTCTTGCTCCTCAAGGTAGCCTTCCTAAATTCTCCTTATGCTCCCTTCCTGCATTGCTGAAACCCATACCATCTGACAAGTCTGTCCTCTTCAGATCATCTACATTGTTAATTTAACAATTTGGGCATCTACTCCAGGCTATGGGTTTCACCCCACTGCCCCAAGTAAACCTCATGACTGCCAACGATTACTCCCCATGAAGCCTTATACACCTTTCCTTAGGGCTCACAATCAGTGGTTTTATGCCCCAAGAATCTGGGCTGATCTAGCTCTGAAATCTATTTTGATCAAAAATCCATGGGGGTGGGGCAATAATGTCAGCCTTGCAGGCCAAGTACAATGAATGGGCCATGTAAATGGCAGTGTGCAAACACAGTGAATGGTGTGGAGAACCTGGTTGGAACACTCAAGGAAAGCCTCAGAGAAGAGCTGAGAAGCAAACCCAAAAGTGCAATACAACCTTCAGAAGTGGAGTAAAGAGGAGAAGCACTGTATTCAAAAGGTGTGAAAGGTGGGAAGGTCTGTGTGTTCCCATTACATCATGGGAAATATGAATGTGGATCTGCATGGTAATTAGCAAAAGATAGTCTTTGAAACATATGTAGGGCCAGGCCAAACCGCAAGGAGAGTTGTATACTTTGGGAGGGACATAAGCGTCTTCTGAAGAAATGAGAGTTAAACTACTTAAGAGTTTTTAAAAGGAAACATAAGATTTGTACTTTTGAAAGCTCACTGGGACAGCATTGTGACAGACAGATTTTAGGGGGACAAGCCAGGAGGCAGGAAGACCAGCAAGAAAAGAGTTAATCCTCTAGGTGACAGAGGATAGGGCTTTTGTTGGATAAATGGAACCCATTCAAAACATACTTAAGAAACAATTCAGTGAGGTGAATAACCACAAAATTAATGTGCTCAAATCAATAGGTATTCCACGTACAAATAATAACCGTTAAGATCATATGATTAGAGAGAAAACTATCATATTAGCCACACAAAGGATAAAAATGCAAGAGATAACCTTTCATAAATCTTTGGAATTACTATCTTGAATAATCCTATGAAAAAATCTATAAAACTCTTTAAAAAAGATAAAAAGTAGGTGGCAATGCCTTAACATATGCATGTTGTCAGGCTCGAGGGCCTCTTCCATCATTACAAGGGAGTGCTAACCTTCTCTCTTTTCATACAATACAAAGGCTCAAGTCAACAACTTCTGACTTTGCCAGTCCTATGGATAACCCACTACTATTATGGACTACCTGACTATATTGGATTATTTTGCTGAATTCAAGCACCTACAATATTTAAATGGCAATGGAATACCCATCTCTGACAAAACTAAACAAAAAGGGGGATACAAATGAAGGACTATTTTGTATCTGTATATAGAAAATAGTTAGGCTAGATAGACAGCTACTTTCTCTTAATTCAATGAGAAGAAAGATTTGTACTAATAACGTTTGCACAGGATATCATGTCTGCATCTTGTACAATGAATAACCACTACGAACACAACAATGTGCAATGTATTCATTATTGAAACTGTCCTACTAATCGGTTTTGAAACTGCCTCATTGCTATTTATTTCTCAATAAAGTTATTAAAAAATAAAAAAGATAAAAAGAATTCTTGATTTAATGGAGAAATGTACCTTTACTTTTAGATCACAAAGGTACAATAGTGTAAATATATCAGTTCTCCATGTATTAATCTATAAATATGTTGTAATCTCAATTAAAATTCTAGTAGGAGTTTTGAAAAACATGTGTAGAAACATGTCTAAAACTTATTCTAGAAGAACAAGGGTGTAAGACAATACACTTCAGTGGTTCAAAGCATGTGCTTTTCAGTTTGAAGCACTAATTGTGAATCATGACACTCCTCCCCTACATCCCTCCCACCAACTTACTGAAGTTTAGCAAATTTCTAAGCTTCTCTGTCCCTCAGTTCTCATGTGTAAAGTGGAGGTGAGAGCTGATATGTCCTAGAGTGGTTATAAGAATTAAGAAAGGTAATTCATATAAATAGAGCATACAGCCTCACACATGTAAAGTATTAAATAAGTACCAGTTATCATTATTACTAAAGGAATGAATACATTGGATTGAACCACATAAAATTGTCCTATCTGTAGGTAAAAATGGTCAAATATTGGCAACTGTATGTAATAATCTGATATAAATCAACATATGCTAAAAATGTAGGGCTGGAGAGATAGCTCAGTGACATAAGTGCCTGCCTGGCAGACACAAGGTTCTGAGTTCAATCACAGGTACAAAATTAACAATAAAAATAAAAATAATTAAAATTAAAATTTAATATTCCCAATAGATAAATAATTCTATAATATAGAAAAATTCTAAACAGAAAATGAGCAAATAGGGCCAGCCATATATCTTGGTGGATTAAAGTGCCTGCAAGCAGGCACAGGGGCTGGAGGTTCGATTCCTGGACTGCCATGCCAGCCCTGCCCCTGAGGTGCTCTGAGAAGACAACTGAGACTGGGTGTGGTGGTGTGAGCCTGTAATCCCAGCTCTTGGAAGGCTGTAAATAGGTGGATCACTACTAGCCCAATCTAGTAATGAGACCCTGAACACCCTGTAGACCCTTCCCTAAAGTACAAAAAAAGAAAAAACAAAATGAGTAAATAATACAAGTAGGCAATATATACTTGAAATAAGCAATGAATGTATAGAAACAGTTCTATATTACCAACTATGAAATACAGAATTTAAAATAATTAGGAGGTATCATTTTGTACTTGCACTGGCAATAATTTGATATCATATTAAGTACTTACAGGACAATGTGGTTCTAGGTAACCCCATATCTCACTGGCAATGGGTAAAATCATGGATTTCAAGAGCCGCAGTTACTCATGCTGGAACTTCCTACCTACCAACTCCTGCCCCCTACCCACCATCTCCAGATAGTGACCAGGCCCAGTGCCCAGCCGGCATTTCTGGCCTCCAGTCAGCAGTCAGGCCTGGTGTGGAACCCTGTATTGGAATTGCCAGCAGAGAGGCTAGGAGTAAGATCCAGCCAACTAATCCAAGAGCAAAACAGCTTGCTACTGGGGCACAGTGGGTTCAGTTCCCTGGCCTGCAGCAGGAAGAAGCCAAGCACAGCAGCCAGGCCCAGCTGGATGAGTTTGAACTTGGTAGATCTGGGCCTGGTAGGCTGAGATGCACTGCTAGACCCAGATCCATGAAAGCATCCTCTCTCTCTCTCTCTCTCTCTCTCTCTCTCTCTCTCTCTCTCTCAATCAAGACAGGGGCCAACAGGTAACCACGCTAAAAGTCTGCCTGGAAGTTTCCAAGTACATCAAGGGGAGGGGATCAGAGAGATCTCAGGGGACCTAATGTAAATAACAGATTCCCAATTTTACTTCTACTCAGCTAAACAGTCATGATGTTGGCCCTTAGGGTCTAAAATACAAACCCATTAATTATAAAAGTGTGTCAAGCACTAAATCTCACTACTCATTATTAGTGATGCTAATTGTAGTACTATAAATACAAAACTTCAACTGCCTTAACACATAATCTCACTTGGGTAATAATATTGGTAGGAGCTAAGATAACTACTACACCAAAACACTACACCAAAGTTGAGAGGACAGTGCTATACAAAATGACAAAGAGAAGGAGCAAAATGCAGTCTCAGGCCCTGAGCCCATCCAAAACAAATACAGGAGACACTGCCATTGAAGAAATTTTAATCACCAAAGTAAAAAAAGAAAGGATAATTATAATGAAAGAATTACTAAGTGCTTCTAAAGCAGACACTGATAAAATGTAGAGAATATAAAAATGATGGAATTTTTGAATGAGCAATATAGGAAAGAAATAGAATGCACAAATCACATTCAAAGAGATATACAGGAAATTAAAACTTCAATCACAATCTGGCAAAACCATTTGAATAAAAATGAAGATAGAGTTTCAGATCTTGAAGACACCATTGCAGCTAGTGAAAAAATAAGAAAAGACCTTTTAAAAATAACAGGATGCAGGGCAGGTTAGATGGCTCACTGAAATAAGCACTTCCCTGGTAAGCGTAAGGGCCTGAGTTCAATCCCCGGTTCTGCAAAAAACAAACAAACAAACAAACAAAAAAACCAGGATGCAGGAAACATAATTCACCATCTGCAAGATGATGCAAAGATGACCAACGTAAGACAAATAGGTATTAATGAGAAAGGAGTCAATACAAATGATATAAAAAGAATATGAGCAGAAGTAATAGCAGAAAACATCCCACATATGGGGAAACAATCTGACATTCAGATAACTTAAGCATATAGAACTCAAAATAACATCAGCCCAATTAAAAACACACCTAGATATATAATAATCAAGATCCCAGAAATCCAGCACAAGAACAAAAGCCGCTAGAGAAAACAAGCAGGTCACATTTAAAGGAAAACTCATCAGAAAACTGCACATTTCTCTTCACAAATCATTAATTTAAGAGCATGGAGCAAAGTACTTCAAATCCTCCAAGAAAACAAATTCCAACCCAGACTGCTATACCCTGCAAAACAGTTTCAAATTTGATGGAGAAGAGAAATACTTCCATGACAAAGAAAAATTAAAGAATTTCATGACGACAAAGCCAACGCTACACAGACTACTAAAAGATATTCTGGAGAGGGACCAAAATGACCATAATTCAATGAACAAGAATGGAAAGAAGCCACGAAATAGGGCAAACAATTAAACATAGGACAAAAAGAAGTAAACAACAGCAGGTAAATAATATGTCAATCGTAAGTCAATACATCTCAATTATAACCATCAATGTAAATGGATTCAATTCACCAATTAAAAGAAATAGATGGACACAATGAATCAGGAAGCAACATCCAACAATATGCTGTATACAAGAAACACTTAATTCATAAAGAAATTCATAAGCTGAAAGTCAAAGGATAGAAAATAATACTACATGCCCCAGCACCTCGGAAAAAAAAAAGGATGGGTAGCAATCTTGTTTGCATACAGTCTGAACTTCAAACCAAGAATGATCAAATGAAGTAAAGAAGGCCACTACATACTGGTTAGGGGAAAAATTCCAGACAAAGAAGTAGCACTCATAAATATGTATGCACCAAACATGGGAGCACCTAACTATATAAGGCAAATCTTAATTGACATGAAAAGTCTAATATCCAAGACCACAATCGTAACAGGAGACCTTAACACCCCCTTATCACAAAAAGATAGTTCAAACAGACAAAATTTAGCAAACGAGTACAAAAATGGAACCAGAACTTGGAACAAATGGACTTAGTGGACATATACAGAGTGTTCCCTCCAACCACAGCTGCATACACATTTTCTTCAGCTGCACACAGAACATTTTCTAAAATAGACCACACACTAGTACATAGGTCATGCTTAAGTATATGCAAGAAAACAGAAATTATCCCATGCATATTATCTGACCACAGTGCAATCAAACTGGAAATAAATAACAAAAAAACCACAAAACACCCATTAATACATGAAAAATTGAATAACATCCTCCTCAGTAACCAATGGCTTGCAGATAAAATTAAACAATATATAAAATTCAATGAAAATTCAAGCACAACATATTGGTATTTATGGGATACAATGAAAGCAGTTGTTAGAGGGAAATTTATAGTTGTGAACTCACACATTAGGAAAACAGAATGAAAATAAATAAATACCTCACAGACCTAGAGAAATCATACATAAAATTTATTTGGAACTAGAAAAAAAATCTAGAAGAGCAAAGGCAATCCTGGGCAACAAAGGCAAGGCAGAGGGCATTACAATTCCCGACTTGAAATTATACTACAAAGCCACTGTGATAAAATCAGCATGGTACTGGCAACAAAACTGACCTGAGGATCAGTGGAATAGATTTAAGATATAGATGCAACTACAAACACAATCTGTGATGTTATCTTCGATAAAGGGGCCAGACATGATTACTGGAAGAAAGATATCCTCTTTAATAAATGTTGCTGGAAAAACTAGCTCCCTACATCCCAAAAACTACAACTTGACCCAGGTCTGTCACCATGCACTGAAGTAAAGTTAAACTGGATTAAAGCTCTAAACATTAAAACGAAAACACTAAATCTCATGGAAAAGAAAGAAGGTGGAAATCTTGAAGACCGCGGTAGGCAAACAGTTTATGAACAAAAATCAAACTGCA